AATGAAACAGGATGAAAAAATAATGCAGAGAGAAGTGGCTTGACTTAGCAAGATCCTTTCTGTTGTTTCAGTTGATGAAGACTGTAATTCAATGTCATAAAATCAAAACTCCTAAATAGCACTAAAAGAAGTAATTGTCTCCCTAAGGATTCATTCAATAAGTTTCGATGTGTTTGTGAGCTCAGATTTATCTGACAATGGATAAAATACAACGATCACTCCAGTCCCGATACCTGCGTTTAACAACTGGAAATCTAACCAACACTTCGTTGATGCAACAAGCCGCCGAAAAACGATTTCAGTCGATCCCGAAAATCAAGACGGCGGTTTGCAAGGAAACGGGTTTAGTTCCCAGTTCTACTCGCTTCGATTCGGGATAAATCGTGCGCGATATACAGCTGTTTCAAGAAAGGTTGTCCTATAAAAGTGTAAAAACGCACGCGACAATGTCGAAAGGTGTTATGGGTAATGGTGGCCAACGGCTGCTTGATTAAGACTAAGAGCATTTCATCATAACAGAAGGAAACAGCACAAAAACGTGTATTTATGTTATTCCCTCCTGAAACTCTGTTAAGCTTAATCAAGGAACGCAAAACGAGTATTACCCATAATGCCAATTGTCGCGTACGCTTTTACGCCTGTGTGGGACAACCTTTGTCGAAACAGCTGTAAGCACCACATCATCCAATGAGAAGCGAGATGTCGATGGAAAAGACAACAAGGCATTGATTTACGTCGATTATATTGTCATAATATTACAATTTCAGCTACAATTTCGATTTCCGTTTTCAAACCATCATAAATTCAAAGCGTTCTAACCCAACGGTATGCTGCAAGGCGAGAGTCACGTTTTACGTACGTATTCAAACTCTGATGTTACGTGATATAATCTATGTCAAAAAGAAAAAAAGACTCCTTGCATCAGTGAGCTTCCCGGGGCCGTCTGTGTAGCGGTCAACATTGACAGGTTGGAGGCCATTCGATTCGAGAGAACAAGATCAGAGATTCGATCACTTAGCAACAAAATCGAACATTTTTAGCTGGAATTTTTCGCTTCTTTTGGCGGAAAAAAACCGGCAGTTTCGGGTATGTAATTCATGCATGTTGTTTGAGCGCGAAACAAAAGACTGTGCACGGTCGTTAGGCTTTCCAAAATAAATCTTGCAATCTTGTTTCCACCTTTGAAGCTTGCTGAGCTTCATAACCATTTAACTCTAAAATTAATTGCTTTATTGTATTTGTCTAGACCCACCTCAGGAGTTTTCAAGTGAAAACCTTGGCGATCCTGAGATTTCCTTCAAGCCGGATGATGAAAATGTTGAAGTCACCCTACTTTGTAGAGTCAAAGTGCTTAATGGAATCGAGAACTGGAGAAACGTATCTTACAAAATCGAATGGTTTGCTGAAGGAGTATCTTTAAACGAGGATGAAATATGCGGCAATCTCCCCAAAGGGGAGGTAAACGCTAAGCCTTGCCCAGGAAATGCGGGAGAGCTTGTTTCGAGACTGTCAGGAAAAAAGTATAAGATTAGCCAGTGGGTAAGAACGTAAACACTTCTTAACAGTCCAGTGCATTTCCGCCTTTAGGAACTGCCAAATTCATCTCATGGCAAGAACACATCTGCATGGCAAAATGAACTAGCCAGAAGAAAACTTTGTTGCGTTTTCCTTTTGATGGGTGTGTAACACTTTGGGAACGGTACATGACAAAAGCCAGCCAGGAACGTAAAGAGACCAATGACCTTTAGCCAAAAGGCTTTCTTTAGTTGAAAATGTTCCATTTCTTCCATATTCTGTTTCTTTATTCTTTTAAGCACAAAGTAAGCAAATCGCATAAACGTATGACAAATCTAGACGTAGTACATTTCGGACGAGTTCATTAAGCGGCATGGGCTCACTGCTTAAGAGTTGAACACCACCCATGTTATGGTCTGCCCAGTTTATCTCTGTCTAGATTCAAACTGTGTCGAGGGAAATTATAAAAGGTTCGGGTTATCAAGAACTCGAGTTATCAGAGGTGAGAACAAACAACTGGAAAGAAGGAAGAAAACTGGGTTTACTGTTTTGCTCTTCACTCAGTGTACATCAAATTTAGTTATAGAGAGGTCGAGTGAAAATGGAACAATACGTTTCTAAATAGGCCATTTCCGAATCACCTTGTGCCTCTCTTTCAAATGAGTTCTCGTGCAAAACCTTTCATATAAAAATGAGTTTCATCTGCATGAAAATGAACCAGTTGGCGAAACACATTTTCAAATGAATGGTTGCGCACGAAGGCTCGTTTTGACACAGAGGCAAAAGGGTCGGAAATAGCCTATTCACCACAGTGTATAAATCAGAAAGTATAAACGTGATGGGAAACAAAAGAATGCAAAGCAAAGGAGAAGTTCAGGTACTGCTAACTTTGGAGGTTTCAGAGAGTACAACTTCGCTCTACTGCTACAGAGCTCAGGCGATTTACTTTTTCGAGAAACAGTTTTAGTGTTTCGGACTGCACTGACTCGTCTGATTGTTTTGAGCTGTCACGTATTGCCAAATACAAATTATCAAGAGTAACATTATATGGAAAATGACCGGAGGGGAAACCAATTAGCGGGAAGTTCGAGTTATCGAGGGTTCGAAATACCAAGGTTAAAATTACAGTATGTGTATGACGGAAATCTGGGGGAAATCGTTTTTAGTTCGAGTTAGCGCGAAGTTCGAGTTGCCGAAGGTTCGAGCTATCGAGAGTCGATTGTAGAGTGAAAATGTCATGTTCTTTAAAACTTCATCATCGTAAAAATGCTGTCTCGTTATAATTGAGAGTAACTGTGATTGCAATGGATATTACTGGCGGGAACTGATAATGACCTGTCTTAACTCTTGTTCAGCTACCTGAATAGCATATACCTCATCTGATGAAGATGTAGTTTTCTGATGTGTTGGACCTAAGCTCATTTACTAATCCATGTCTTGTCATCAACAGATATCTTGTAATGTCTCTGCGAAATTTACCACCTCTCCAAGAAACGTTTGGTCGAACCCGAAGGCAGTTATGGAACCATTCTATGTGGGACTACAGGTAATATGTTCAATTGCAACCTTTAATTGTTTGTCTGTTTGCTTGGCTTAAGATACTGTTTACTAGATCCTGAGTGCAGCTATTATGTAACACCATACAGTGCCTGGTTATAATATGGTTGTGAATAAAAACGAAGATTTCTAGGAAAACAAACGAATGCCAAAGGTCATCCGTTGTCTTCCGAAGATGTTCGAACTTCACCTGAAGCCTTTAAAAGTCAAAACTGAAAAGACAATTAAAAGACTCCAGACGGCTAGAATTACCCGAATATTTATTCCAAATTACAGTCAGACCTCCACTAACGGACACCTCCCGTAAGTGGACACCAAACTGCGGTCCCGGCGATTTCTCCTCTCCAACACTACATTTTTAACCTCCCGTAGGCGGACACCTCTCCTAAGTGGACACGGACCCCTATTTGGGGTCCGTAGGGTCTAAAATAACCACCCGTAAGCGGACAGTGAACAATTAGACTTCAGACTTTTAAAGACTTCAGCTTGCACAGAACTCAGCAGCTCGCCTTGTTACCTTGACTAGAAGGTAGGAACACATCGCGCCAATACTAAGGAGCTTACATTGGTTGTCAGTTCATTTTAGGATTATTTTCAAAATATTGTTGTTAACTTACAAAGCTCTGAATGGACTGGCCCCTGATTACATTAGAGACCTACTGCGATTTAGTATTTCTGGTCGCACACTAAGATCTTCAAACAACAGGTTGCATGATGAGCCTAGAGCAAATCTTAAAACGTATGGTGAAAGGGCTTTTTCCGTGGCGGCACCAAGGCTCTGGAATAAACTACCCCTCCATATCAGACTTTCATCATCAGAGGCAGTTTTTAAGGCTAATCTTAAGACTTATCTTTTTAAACGTGCATTTGACTTGTAGTTTTTACTTTTTATTTGTAGCCTTGTGGTATTATATAGCGTATTTAATTCTTAGCTTGGATTTTGACTTTTAGGATTTAGGATATTCGGTTTTTAAAGGATTTGGATTTTAATTTTAGGATTTTAAACTTAGGATTTTAATTTTAAAATGTTGTTAAGCGCCATGAACAATTAGTGGAAAATGGCGCAATATAAATGTGTATTTATTTATTTATTTAGATAGTTTCGGTTTTAATGATTTAATCACATACTGACCTAAATAAAAGCAGTGTACGTGTTTGAGTATGAACAGTACAGTGCTTTTACAGGTAACTTTCCAATTAGGGTTTTTTTTTTTTTCAATACAGTACATCCAACTTTTCCTTTTCAAACTTTCTTCGAGCTTCATACCGTTAGCTTCCACGTAGAGGGGAAGAATGTTCATGTTGTGTTTATACTTTTCTGTTTGTTTATAAAATCGTCTATGACCTCCTGACTTTCGCTGACGCATGTTTCAGTTTCTACATCAGACTTTTCCAGATCTTCAGGATAATAAAATTCACTTGGTAAATATTCGTCTTCCTCGTTCATGTTGTAAGCTCTGTAAAATATCAATCTTTTCGGTGTTTCTTTGCGAAGATGGAAACTGTCCGTATCGCGAAATCCCGACCACGAAAGAACTAATCAGAACGCTCGGATTTACCTTAATATAATAATATCGGGAAATCGCGAGAAAAGATTCCAAAGGCTAAGAAAATTTCAAGAGCCAGTGAAATAAGCGAAACTCTTGAAAACTTGACTACTCTCTGCCAAAAAAAAAAAAAAAAAAAAAAGAAACCTTTGGGGAAACTTCAGTCAGACTCTTCCCTTCTCCCTACCACCCCAAGTCGGAACGAATAGCGAAGTCGTCTAGCACCCTTAACCAGCACCAAGCACCCCTACTCCAGACATCCGGCCGTCCCCAAGTCTTCGTCCGGCTTCTCTATCCGCGAAATCCATAAAAAAATTACAGGCTTGGTTGCTAGGCGGAAAACATGGCGGATGAGCGCGCGTTAAATTTCTCTTGTTCTTTTAGGATCGTTTGTAGCTCGAGCTAAGGCAGTTCCAGATGCCTTAACATATGAGCTGAGTCTCGATGCTGGAAACCTCTTCGCTATCAACAGCACAACAGGAATAATTTCAGTGCAGGACCGCGTTGACCGAGAGGTTTGTGTAGAACACGATACTGAAGACGCCCGAAAATTTTATGCTTCAAAAACCGTTTAATACTGGAGTGAAAATATGTCTCCTATTTGCTTCTTTATTCTTTCATGGTTTTAGACAAATTATTATTGATCACATACTGGGAATTTGCACGTTAAATTCCATGTATAGAACAACGAGTCATTAATTGACAGCAACAGTGTCAAGATGTTACATGTGGTTTTAAATATTTCTGTACTAACCATCTTTACGTGGTCGTGTGTTTCATGCAGAACCCCACCCCCTGGGTATTTAAGGGATTGTATGCGGTATAACAAAAAAATATTTTTTCCTGTCTCATGTAGTGGTTTAATAATCGTGACATAACTGATTTTCAGGTACAAAGTGTTACTGATGGAAAATTTATGGTATATGCCATTGATAATGCTGGTAACCAGGTAAATACAGTATGTTGTCCAAAATGGATCATGTGTACTAATTGCATCCATGGTGGAGTGTTGATGGATACCCTCAACTTTTACCCTTGATCAATACTCAATCGCCTTCTGGATTGACACTTGATTGACATCTCGTTTGAGAGTACGTCAAGAGTCAACTAATTTTGCACACACACCATCAAGTGTTGATTGATACATATGAGCTGGTTGACAATTGACCAAGTACTATCCACCAAGTATCAAGCAAATATCAATCAGGTGTCGATTGAGTTGTTGATTGAGTGTTGACCAAGTGTCGACTGAGTATCAATCAAGATGTCTAGGAAGTGTTGATTGAGATGTCGCTGGGGTGTGATGGAGGGTCGATCAAGGGTATCAAATGAGACTTGACCACAGATGCCTTTGGTCCACATGATCCTCCGAATCTACCACAGAGTTACTGTAGTACATGACATACTTTCTTTACTGCAAATCAGCTCAGCAGTTAATGTTCTCTTCCAATAAATGTGACTGGTCTGTTTTTATCAGTTGGGTAAGAGTCTTTTATTGATAAATTTCTGGAAATAATGCATTACCAGCATTCACTTATTAATTTCCTTGCAGATTATTCACTTAATTAACTGTACTTCATGTACGTATCTTTTTATTGGCTCCTCAGTCCTTGAATGCATCCACATGCCAGTTAAGAGGTCATGTTGGTATAGATTACCGGTAAATGTTTGTAATTGCATAAACTGTTACAAGTAGATCAAAATTTTGAATCACAACAGTATGTGACTACACTGTCCTTCATTTTTCTCTCCTGAAGGCTTCAGCACAAGTCTTTTATTGGATTCTAGATGTCAATGATCACTTACCTCATTTTCCAAGTCAATACTACAATGTCACTGTTGGAGAGGTAATTGTAAAGTCATGCTTGTGACTGTATCATAAGTCACTGTGATATGATGGGACATTATTAAATAATTGTTCAAAGCTGCTCTGTTAATAATAATCAGGCACAAACTAGCTAGCTGTTGTCTGACTTACAATTAATATTATTAGACAGCAGATTGTATCAACTAAAAAAATGAATTAATCACTTATGCAGCTTATTAAAGCTTTAAATTTGGTATCAAAATTGGGTTGCCTGCACCTGCAACTCACACTTCAGTCAAGTGTCATTGCTATTATATATTTTGACCAAAATATCTTGTTCCTCATTAAATTGTTCCCAGAATTCTCAAGTTAATTAGTAGAAGAGACAAAAACAACTTTTGAGCATAATTTGTGTAAAGTTATGTTTGTTAGCTAAGTACTGTATATGGAAAAAAAGACTTTTTAGTTTCAAACTGCGGGTGCGGCCACCATATGCAAGGTTTATGAGGATCATCCAAGACTGAGCAAAATCTTTGAAGGTCCTTGAAGATCCTTAGGAATCCTGGTCAAGATTGATATATCCTTGAATAACCTGGCAAGAATTGTAAGGATCCTTTATAAAGATCCTTAAAGATCTTGGCAAGGATTTTTGACCTTGATTAATATCCTCAAAAGATCCTCATGAGGATCCTCAAGGATCCTTGAAGATTCTTAAATGATTTTCACCAGGGGCCGCAGGGCTGTAGCTAGTAACAGGGGGGGG